TTAAGATTTAAATTTGAAAAAAACAAACAAATTGTTTATTACTAATTAAAGAAACTACTTTAAAAAAAGAGATCTTTAATCTTGTAGAAACTTGTGTTCAGTTATATAATGGCAAGTCTATTTCAGTCAAACATATCGTTCAAGTAACAATGATAGGTAGCAAAGTCCATACTGCCTTATCGAATGTAACAAGTTATCAATCTAGCCAAAGTTGCTGTTTATTTGGATGTTCACGAAAAGACATGAACAACATCGCTAAAGTTACAAAACTTCCCTAGTCACCGGATGAGCTTTAATGTGGATTTTATATACTTCATTCATCGATAAGATTTTTTGAGTGTCTCATTCATATTTCATATAAAATACCAATCAAAAAATGATAAGCAAAAGGAGACGCAGGGAAAACTCTTGTTAAAGAACAAAAAGTGAATACACAAAAGGATTCCAACAAAACAATGGGACTTATTGTTAACAACCCAAAATGTTGAGGAAATTCAAATGACAGCAATACTGCTTGAAAAGCTTTTTCAAATGAAGATGAATTGAATCAAGATGAATTTGTCGAAATTACAGGAATAAACAAAGAACTAATCGTAAAGTTGCATATAACCTTAGTTTTCATATCAAGTGGATTTCAAACAGATGGATCAAATAGTGGATTTCAAATAGTGAGTTTCAAATAAATTTGTAAGTTTCGCTTATTTTGTCTGGAGACCGCAAGCTCTATTTATGCTTGTACCATTGGTATTACATGCCTCAGACTCTTCACAAGAAATTAATTCACGGAGCAGGAGTAATAGAAAGTCTGTTATTGCCAATAGGTCTATTTAGCAAAGAAGCTCAAAAAGCTAGAAACAAAGAATTTAGAAAGTATAGGGAACATCATTCCTGTAAAAATTCAGGTATAAAGACAAATGAAGATGTAATGAAAAGACTTTTATGTACATCTGATCCAGTTATTTCATCTTATAGAAAAACTGTTTCATTGGATAAAAAAAATTTCCTCCGGGTGTTGTTGAATTTTTTATTTGCGAGAATTCTACGTTCGAGAATAAAGACAAATAAAAATCGTTATTTTTAATTGTAATTGAATATAAAAACTTCTTTATAATTTTTTTAGTTTTTAGCAATAAATTCGAATATTTATTTTATAGGGTTTTATAAAATTAATTTGTAATAGTTTTAATCAGGGCCGGTTTAAGGATTTTTTTTGAATAAGCGAGATCAAGGTTTGGCGCCCCTTATTATAAAAAAAAGTGTTGTCATTTAAAACTCTAAAAAATATTTTTAGGGTTTAATATTTTTTCAAGTTTTTAAATAAAAAGATAAGTATATTTGTATGTGATTGTTTCTTAAAAATTAAATGAACATTCAAATATATTTTAGTAGAGTAGGTTATATAAAAAAACCTATAACTTTCCACGAAAGTTGTAATAAAAAAATTAAAATACAATGGTTAGCGTGTATCATAACTTATCATAAAATGTGTTTTCGGTAAATTGCGCATTCTTATTAAAATCCCTAGAATACATTAATATATCCTATTAAATGTTTACCCCGTACATTACTTAAAAACTGAATACAGAATTAAAAGCGCCGTAAAATTAATTTTTAAACAAAGAAATTAACAAAAAGATATTTTAAAAATATATGTATATAAACATGTTGTCAATAAGACTAATGGAATAGTAAGTAACATACTTTTTATGAACAAATAAATAACCCTAACAGTATATTTTTTTGGTAGATTAATAATACAAAGTGACATAAAATAATAAACATCGTAAAATAAATTTTATAGACAATGTAAATAGCAAATCTAAAATTGTATTGAACAATAATTTTAAAAAATTGTAAAACCTTTGACAAAAACAATGCTTTTAGAAAAATTTAGAAACAAACTTTTCTTGCATTAACTTTAGCAAAGTCTTTTAGAAATGAATCGGTTTCCATTGTATTCAGAACCTGGTGTTCAATTGCTAATGTGGCTATCTTACTAAGTCAGTCCTTAGAAAGAGTCATTTTTGATAATCTTTAATTTAGAAAAACTTCTTTTTCCACTGGCCACTGATACGGGGAAGGTAAGAATAATTCTCATTGCTACATACACATTGGAGAAAATGTCAATCAAGCATTTTTTTTTTTAATATAAGACGGTGTTGGTTTGGAGCAGCTATCGTTTGGTAACATTGGAACTAAAATTACAATTTCAACAAACATTTCATTGCCATTGATGTCACTCTTGCCATCAGCTGTCAAAATGGATTGCAGATTTTTGCACTTTTCTTTATTTGCATATGTTTCACATTTGTCAATTTTTTTCAAGTTATTGCGGAATTTGAAATGTTTGCTATGATTTTCCATTAGTTCAAATCTTTCTGACAATGTAGTCTAAAACTACAATAAAGAAATTTACTTTGAAAGACTCTTTTGCCAACTTCACAGTTTCATCTTTACCTTCATAAAAAAATTGCCTTTTGATCTTTTTTGGCCTAGCCACTACTTCATCAGAGAAATTTGGATCGATGTCCAGTTTTTTTGCTAGTTCCTTTGCATCTGTAAAAACTTTATTCAGTCCATTTTCTGATCTCAAGTTCTCCAAAAAAAGTCATAACACTTTCAATTAGTTTCAAAGTGCTCTGCATCTTGAAACTAATTGAAAGTGTTATGACTTGTAGTTCGGTTTGTCTTAGATTCATAGAAAGCGTCATAAATCTCATCAATGTGATATCGCAAAGGTTCAAGGGCGTCTATTCTGCTCTCCGAACGGGTTTCATTTAAATGTTTTACATTCAAGTTAGTTACATGGCTTGTTAATATATTCCATTTATGTTTTGATTTAGAAAAAAAGTTATAAAGTTCCTGTATATTGTTGAAAAAGTTAACAGCTAAGGTGCAGGAAAGTGCTGCATTATTGACAACAAAGTTTAATGAATGACTTCCACACGGAAAAAAAAAGCTTGTGGGTTAAGGTCAAGGATCCTTTATTGTACTCCTACATTCTTTCTCTTCATATTTGATCCATTACCATATTTTGTGAAGATATTCCTTTTTTTGAAAGCTCGTCTAACAAGGAAGCTGCTAACCCTTGTTAAGAGGTATATGAGACCTGAACAAATCCAAGAAAATGTTCCCTTACGTTTACTTCTTCACTTGGAACTGCATAGACAAACCGATCTACAAGAATCATTTGTTCTTCACGACTTACGTCAGGAGTACATTTAAAAATTATAGAATAATACAAAGCTTTTTTCAGTTCACACACCATGTGCTCAGTAACTTTACAGGAAAGAAGAACAATAAAATCATTTTAAATTTGTTTGCTTAAATAATGCCCTTGAGTTTCTTAGGCAGTTATCCGTTGAAGATGTTCAGAAAAGACGTGTCAAATTTTGAAATGTGTTCAACAAGTTTTAAAAAGTTTCCATTGTTTTCTTTGAAAATTGTTTCATTTGTTCCACAAAAATCTAATTCTTGAATGCGAAAGAGTTGCACAATACAAACAAGACGTTTTAATACTACATACCAATGTTCAGTTTCAGTTTGAATAATAAGTTGATGCTGGGAATCAATAGTGTTGCCTAATTTCAATCTGATCAATCGTGGCAAGTTCTCAATAAGAAATGGTCGCATTTCCGTGAGAGGTTGACCTTTCATGTGTATGTAAAAAATTTAACATGTTTTGCCAATCAGAGTACCCCTCTGTTCCTGAAAGATATATGTCAGCAGTACTAAACAGCTTGCAAAATAAAAAAAAAACTGAATTTTTAAATATTGAATACACTAGCCAATCCCTGTGAATATCTTCTCCATTTGGTAACTTAGTTTTGTAATTGACAACTGTGAACCGTCTGCCTGAACTACTGGCAAAAGGAAAGTTAATAATTGTAACCTGTACTGGTCTTTTACAACAAGTACTTGACGAATGTCATGTGTGATTCTGGCTGGCCACATTCTGCAGTCTTCAAGCGAGTCCCATGATAGTGGCGAAGTGACCGCATTTTCCTTGGCACCAGAGTTATGAAACAATAACAATGATTATTTTACTAAATGAGGTTTTTAACAAAAACAATATTATTTTTAAAGTTCATTTTTAATAGTGGATGAAGGATGATTATTACAAAAGTTTTTAGTTGATTTTTTCCAACTTATATAACCCTACTTTTTCCACTTTTTTAAAATAACATAGAAACTCTTGATTGTAAAATTTGTTAAATGTGTTTTTTTATATTTTATCTTTTATTTTTGTATTTTTGTTGTTTTATTTATTTTTACATCAAAAAAAATTAATTTACCGTGTTTATTATCATTTATTTTATTTTATTTACTAATTTCCAGAATTGTAATATATATTTATAAGCATACATATATACAATTGTATTTTGGTTAAGTTTTTTTTAACTCACTTATTTGTGTGAAGAGTTTAACTTGTTGATTTATTTAGCTTACATATTTTATAAAACTATTGTAAACATTCAACTAAATAAATTTTTTAATAAATAAAAACTTGGTGGAAAAGTCCGCTTAAATTCTTTCTAATCTTATACTTGTTTCAGCGATAAACGTAAATAAATGGAAAAAAAGAAAAAATACCTTGGCATTATCTACTTATATTTTTAAAAACATTTTTAAATTTGCGGCAGATTTTTTAACTAAATTCAAAATTGATTTCGTTGGAGAGGAATTAAAATTTTTTTTTTTTTTATTTTTTTTTTTTTTTAGTTGATTTAGGTGCCCTTACGGTCTTATCACAGAACACCGCGGAAGAGCATTTAATAGGAAGTTCACGCCTCCTTCCCAACCGATGTCACAAAACTTGCACAGATCTTACGTTTCTGAGGCAAGTGCGCTACCATTGCGCCACGGCTGCAATTAAAATTTAAAAATTAAAATTTTTATTTTAAAATAAGACTTTGTACTTTCTAAGGCCTTCGACTGTATCTGTATATAATTTTTTTTCAACAAAATGCATATAAACTAACAAATTCAAAATCAAGCACAAACCTTAAATGAAAATGGTGAACTTGACATACTCGTACTTGATTGGTAATGTAAGTGTTCTTAGAGAAAAAGATTTAACTGCGTCTATAGGAATGTCTTTTAAAACTTGAGACTGGGGATTTTCTTCTGACATCTTCTGCTCCTAGAGTACAAGTTTTTTTTTTTTTTTTTTTTTGTTATGGTTTATAAATATGGTTGGAAGCACACCCAACACCCAATATCAATAAAAAATTATAGTGAAAATAGCACACAATGGTTATTAAGGCTTAAATAACCGTCTATTATCTCTCTAAATTATTATTATTATTATATTTATTTAACTAATTTGATAATAATAAATGCACTCTTGTATTATTTCTTACCTGAAATTGCTGATTATTGTTTACATATTGTTTTTCTAATCTAGAGAAAAATTTACTCAATGTTTTTGCTTGATTTTTGTCTTCTGTCTCCACATCTAATTTGCGTTTTCTACAAAAGAAACCTGAAGGTTCCTTTTTTTTCCGCCATAATAACTCACCAACTTATTTCTTCAAATATTTAAATAACGATTACTTTTAGCTGTAATTGTTTATTCATTTAAGTGCTGAGCAAATACTTAAAAAAATCAATAGTTTAAAATATAAACTTTGGCGCCCCAAATATGTAAATATACAGTTACAATAAACATTTAACACACAAAAACACGATTTAAATAAAGAATTCACTAACAAACTTATTCTTTCAAACAATCACCTAACTACTACTTTTTGATTTAATTATTTTTTTCATTGAAGTGCTGAGCAAATATTTACAAAACCAATAGTCTAGCATATAAACCTAAACGCCCCTAAATGTAAACAACTCACTACTTGTACACGTTAAAGACGCCAAATATTACTTTTAACTTTTACTTTTTCAAATCCAAATTGAAACTTAAAAAAAAAAAAAAAAAAAAAACGTTAGCTACGCCAGCGCGGCGCCCCAGAAAAGTCGGCGCCGTATGCGACCGCATAGTTAGCATAGCCCTTGCACGGGCCCTGGTTCTAATAAAAAAAAGTTCAAAAAAATAACTTTAGCACAAAAAACATGGATTTTTACCACTGTGCAATGGTGAAAATTAAAAAAAGAAAACATTTCTTTTTTGTAAATTCTCTGCAAGATTTACACTTAAAAAGTATAAATCTCAGAAACTATTAACTTTAAAGAATTCTATTTTTTCAAGCTTTGTGTATTTGAAAAAGATTTGTCTTATCTCCCATTACAGGGTCGTCGGTACAAAATTATATCGGGGGGGGGGGGGGCAGTACTAGTCCGACATAGTATTAAGGACTTTTATTTATTTTTTATTACTCATTTTTTCATTTATACTTAAAAAGTATAAATCTTGCAGAGAATTTAAAAAAAAGGTATTAGTTAATTTTTAATTTGTATTATTTCATATGAATTTTATACCTATAAATAAAAGAAAGGAAAATGCAGAAAACTTCTGTTGACTCGGAAGTATTTTCTTTAAGCTACGATATTTTTATCATATAAAACTTCATATAGGTCTGACATATTTGCTAAATATATCATTACGTTACATTTTAAATAATTTTTGTAAACAACTTTATCTGTTATTATAATAAAAATATTCATTATTTTAGAAAATAAAACTTATTATTAATTACATCTATTATTTTAGAAAGTTTTATTAAATTCATTCAATTAAGTTTAATCAGAAACTATTTACTTTAAAGAATTCTATTTTTTCAAGCGTTGTGTATTTGAAAAAGATTTGTCTTATCTCTCATAACAGCGCCGTCGGTACAAAATTATATCGGGGGGGGGGCAGTACTAGTCCGAAATAGTATTAAGGACTTTACTATTTTTTTTATTACTCATTTTTTCAGTCAATTTCTAGAAAATTATTTAATTGAAAAATGCCCTGCTGCCCACCTGGTTACAAATTAAAATAAGTTTCCCTTTTTTTGAGAAAAAAAAAGATTTTTTTTATCTCAACCTACTATTGACAGAAATTTCAAGGAAATTTTCATTTCGGAAAATTTTCCAAAAAAACTTCTAGAAATTTAAAGCTTTAACAAAAACATAAGTTATTCCTTTTTCTTTTTTGCGTACATAAAGTAGTGGTCAAAATTATAGCACAATACTAAAATAAAAATTGAATGATAAAAATTTAACAGAGGTTTTAATGAAAAGTTATAATTATTTTTTTATGTGAAAAATAATATTTTACTTATTAAAAAAATGAATGAAAATTGAAAACACATTTAAAGTTGTTTAAACATATTTTAAAGTTCACTTAGGAATAATACAAAAAAATAAGCTGGTCAAAAATATAGCACATAGTACTATTTTTAGATGAAAAAAAACATTAGAATTTGATGTAATATGAAGAAATGTTGGATCTTTTCTAAGCTCTAAAAATTTGAGAAATACAATCTGGAACAGAATTTACCAATTTAATGCAAAAATCAATTGAAAGTCTTGTACCACAAGTCATTTATGTTGTTACTAAAGATTTGCATATAGTGAAGTGGAAGTCCATTCTAGAAGCCAAATATTCTTTATTGCAAACCATTCCAGAATTTTTTTTTGCTCAGTGACACGGTGCGCTGTCTTGCATAAAATAGCAATCTTCAGCTTTAGAATCAAAAAGAGTATCCATATAGTAAGGTAAATCAGCAATATCTTCTAAATAACAAGAAGCATTCAAACGACCTATGTAAAACTTCAATAAACCTATTCCATTTGCAGAAAAACAACCGTATACAAAAATAGTTCCACCAGCTTATGCCTTTGTTCTAAAATTAAATAGAAATTTTTTTTCATTAGGATACATACAAACTTACAATTCTTTCTACTTATGACTTCAAAATGTAATTTTCCTCTAAATACCACATGATGCCATTGATTTCGAGTCCGATTAACATAGTTTTTACACCAAGTGAGCCTCTTTCTTTTTCTGAGCCTTATTTTGATAACAACGTCGTTTCTGTGAGTAACTTTTCAACCCTTTTTCTAACAAACGACAACGAACTGTTCTTGCGCTAATGGTTTTTTATTTTGCAGCATTCATCTCCATAGCAATTTTTCTACTTGACTCAGTACAATTTTTTTAGCAAGTGTCACGGTCTTCTGTAGAATTAGTGCAACTACGATATCCTTGATCTGGTCAATTTTTTATTGATAAACTCAATTTAATTTAATCAGCAATAATATAGACAACTTTTCTGGAAGTTTCAGCTCGTTTAACAATATCAGCAATCTTAAATTGTTGTTGAAGTTTTTTACAAGTTGTCGCCGCTTATTACTGCTTGGCGACAAATTTTGTTTTAATTTTAAAATTATTGAAAAACTTTTAAAAATTATAAGGTTTGCTATTTTAAATAGTTAATTACAATGCTAGTTGATAAATATAAAATCATACACTACGATCCGTCAATGCATTTAATCATACCCACTGTCAAAATTACGTATGAATGTGAGTATGCTATAAAATTGACCAACATTTTTCATATATGTTTGTAAAATTGTTCATTTCTAAAAAGAATAATAAACAGAATCTCAATTTTATGTGCACATATCAAATGACTAATGTAAACTCATTTCAAAAATACAATACCTCTCAACAATATGATTAATACATGCAAAATTTTTATATACAATCCTAATTTAAGAGGTTGTGCTACAATTTTGACTCGTACTTTATTTTGCCGTTATAATAATGCTACAATACCAAAATCTATAAATTACCAAAATGTCACTACGTTAAAATAACGTTACAGTTTAAACGTTGCTCAGTAAACGTTTTTCAAAGTTAATTCTACGTAGCAAAAAACTCAATTGTGAAAAAACAGCGCGTTGAGTCCGAAAAAAAAGAAATAAAATAATATTTAAGTATAAAATCTGCAACACAGAGGTGTTTATGTGAAAAAACTGCATTATTAATTTTAGTCTTATTTAGTATTCAAATTTCAATTTATCTCGAGTTTCTTCTTTTCTCTAATAAAAGATGGTTTTGCCATCGCTAGAACATTAGAGTGGCATTTTCGTCAGTTTCTTAAATGTGCCATTGATTTTTATGAAAACTATATAAATAAATGGTTTATTTAGGGTTAATTAAAAAGTTTGTTAAAAGGAGGTATAACATAAATATATATAATATAAGGAGTATAATATAAATATATATATATATATATATATATATATATATATATATATATATATATATATATATATATATATATATATATATATATATATATATATATATATATATATATATATATATATATATATATATATATATATATATATATATATATATATATATATATATATACTAGGTTGGTTGAAAAGTTCGCGGAGCGGAAATGAAAAAACAATTTTATGATTCAAAAAATGACTTTATTCTTCAGTATATTCTCCCTTAAGAGCAATACACTTTTTCCAACGATTCTCCAATTCATGTATCCCATCTCTGAAGTGCGATTCCGGAAGGCCTTCAAAATACCCATTTACGGCTGCAATGACTTCTTCATGTGATGAGAAACGCTTTCCACGTAGAAATTTTTTGAGATGTGGAAAGAGGTGGAAGTCGGACGGAGCCAGATCTGGTGAATAGGGTGGATGTTCCAAGCGTTCGTACTTTAATTTGACCAATTTCGCCTTTGCAACATCGCTGATATGAGCAGGTGCGTTGTCCTGGTGATAAATGATTTTTTTATGCAGCAAACCAGGTCTTTTCTCACGAATTTTTTTATCCAACTGGTCCAAAAGATTTTTATAATTTTCACCTGTTATCGTTTTACCGGTTTGAAGGTAATCTATTAATAAAATTCCTTTCGCATCCCAAAAAACTGATGCCATAACCTTCTTTGACGATTTTGACGCCTTCACTTGCTTCGGAGCTGAACAACCGGGTTCTGTCCACTCTGCAGTTTGTTGTCGCAGCTTCGGATCATAGTGGTAAACCCAAGTCTCATCCATGGTTACGAATCGACGCACAAAATCTGTTTTATTCTTTTGAAAACGGGCCAAATGTTCTTGAGAAAGTTTTACTCGAGTGCGTTTCTGATCCAGAGTTAGCGAATGCGGCACCCATCTTGCCAACAGCTTTCTCAGACGTAATTCATTGTGCAAGATGTGTAATACCCGTTCATCTGAGATGCCCACAGCCTCAGCAATTTCACGTTTGGTCAATCGTCTATCATCCATAACCATGTCATGCACAGCATTAATCGTTTCTTCAGTAGTAGCACTTTTTGGACGTCCAGAGCGAGGGTCATCTTCAAGGCTTGAACGCCCACGTTGAAACTCCGCAGCCCATTTGCATACTGTTGTTTTTGAAGGAGCATCATCACCCAACACATTTACCATTTCATTATGAATTTCCATGGGCTTTAAACCTTTTTTCACAAAGAATTTTATTACAGCACGATGTTCAATATTTTCCATTTTAAAAAATACTATGACACGTCTAATTTCAATAGCTTGTAAACAAAGACTGAAATGACATATCGACTTGAAATTTTTTATGCGTTCATACGAAGAATGAATACGTTTAATACAGTTATAAATTTGTTTCTACTACTGCAACATAGGTGCCGCTCCGCGAACTTTTCAACCAACCTAGTATATATATATATATATATATATATATATATATATATATATATATATATATATATATATATATATATATATATATATATATATATATATATATATATATATATATATATAAACGATTTTATCATACAATCTTATAATACTTGTGATATGTTGTGTTTTACTTTATAATACTTTAAATTTTTTAATTGTTACATAAACTGAAATCGACCATGTAAACGGGGCTCGGCAATAATACAATATGCGTCTTCTTCATGCTCCAGCCATTTATTATAAATGCACGATCTTTTTTATTGAAAATTTTATTAAACACCAAATAAAATAAATAAAAATGTAATATTATTATTAAGATAAAAAAAAATTTTGCTTTATTTATCAATTATCACTTTGTAGGTTTGTATTTACTACTTTGTGTTTGTTTTTTGTTTTTTTTCACAAGTAAACTATACATTTTTTAAACAACTTTACAATATTTATGCTTTTTCAAACATTGTTAAACTAAGGGAAGAATTGAATTGGAAAGTAAATCTTTAAAATCATTTGTTATTTTGTGTATGTTTTTAAAATTATTTTTAATATAATAAACATGTTTCGGACCTTAACACAAATTATAGATTAATGTTCTATATCATTAAAACAGTTGAATTAAGTGTTTGTTTTTATTTTTGTTCAATTATTTGAAATAAGCGTGAGTTACATTTTAAAACCAGTTGCAATTAATGGTATTATTTTTTTATTTTAAATTTAATTTGATTAGCTTAATAATAACAGAAAACTTATTCTTATTATTTTACGAATATTAAAACATTTCAGTTGCATATATATATGACTATATATATACTTATATGTATGTGTATATATATATATATATATATATATATATATATATATATATATATATATATATATATATATATATATATATATATATATATATATATATTGCTTATTATACATGTAATAGTCTCCTTTTTTTTTTTAGTTAACTTGTTGAAAATATATACTTTCTATATCAAAAAGTTGAGTTCATTTGTTGGAGCTAGAATAATGGTGAGACAAATATATAATATATATATATATATATATATATATATATATATATATATATATATATATATATATATATATATATATATATATATATATATTTATAAATATATGTATATATATATTTATAAATATATGTATATATATATATTTATAAATATATATATGTATATACAATTATATATATATATATATATACATGTATATATACATACATATATGTATTTATGTATATATATACATATATACTTATATAATATATAATTTTATATATATATATATATATATATATATATATATAATTATATATATATATATATATATATATATATATATATATATATATATATATATATATATATAAATATATATATATATATATATATATATATATATATATATATATATATATATATAATTATATATATAGATATATAAATTGATAAGGTTGATGTTGTTTCCGTCATTGCTTGCTTGATACAACTTGTTGTCATCAGCAAACAACTTAATGCTTCAATACATTAAGTTACATTGTTTATAAAAACTATTAATAAAATGGGTCCCAAAACAGCTCGTTGAGATATTTCGCTCTTTACAAGAATTTCGCTTGAATGCGAATAACTGACGCATACACATTAACAACGATTTGTTAAGAAATTGGTAATCCAGTTTAGCAATTCATACTGAATACCATAACGATGCAGTTTGAACATTAACTTAGAGTGAGTTACAGAATAAAAGGCTTTCTCAAAGTTTATATATATACAATATCAATTATCTTTTTGCTCTTAGCAGCAGTCAACCATTTATTTAAGGTTGTCAAAATTTGTGTACAGGTGGATTTACGCATTAAAAAGCCAAATTGGTGAGCGGTAATAAGGTTTTTGATTAGTAAGTAATGCATTCTGCAATGATTGACTTCATAACTTTATAAACATTGCACGTCAAAGAAATAGGTCAATTGTTTCTGGTTAAATATGAGTTTTTTTCTCAAAAGATGGGGCACACTATAGCGATTTTCTAGATTAAAGGTATAGCATTTTTTGACAATAGTAATGACACTTGCGTTTGATTTTAGAATTATTTCTCGGTATCCATCAGGTGGAGGACTTTGATGGATAAACCATTATGTTTTATTATTATGGTATTATTATTTAATTTAACTACATATCAAATACTTCGTAAAGTAAGTTTTTTTTTTTTAATTTTAGAACAATGTAGTCGAATGGGCCCCAACTTTCTGATTCTGCATTGGTCTATTTTATTTTAAATTATTTGTTGTTTTTCTATATAACAATATAATTAATGCTTATGATTCTGAAGAATAAGGTTCTGGCCTGAATTTAATGCAAAGATAAGCTGGAATTTGATTATTTACAGTGAGAAACAATGTGGACAAAAACTTTTTGCTCTTTGATTGATTGTTATGGATGATTGCATCCATAACAATCAATCAAAGTTTATATCAATTATAAATTTTTGGTGTCTTATTGATTATTTATATATTTTTGAATATTATTATTAACTTTTCCAGAATCATAAATAAAAGTAAATTACTTAGAAAAAGTCATTAAAAAAAGTACTTAATTTAACACATGATCATAAGGATAAATATAAAAAAAAGAAAAGATATTTAAACTATTCTAAACTAAATAAATTAAAATAAATAATTTGATGAACAAATACAAAATAAATTAAAAAATAAAAGGAAAGGAAAGAAGGGAAAAATAAAAAGTAGTTTTAAAATTACAACTCAATTCGAATACAACTTTCGAACGAAAAATATAAAAAAAACGTTAACAAAACTAGTTATCAAAAGAATTTCGAATTTGAAAAAGATTTAAACAATTCAAAATAATCAATAGTAATAATAAAAAAAAAAGAAAAAAAAAAGAAGAGAAGCAAAAATTATTTATTTAAAAAAAAAAGAAATTGATTGTTGTTTTTTATTTTATTTAATATTTGTTTTTATATTCTTATTTCATTTATAATTAGTTATATATTCTTATTTTTGGTTTACAATATAATATAATATAATATTCTATTGTTTTATTTTTATAACTATTATTTCATATTAATTTGTTCATTAATACTGATTCATTTATGGCAAATGTTGATATTATTATTATTATTATTATTATTATTATTATTATTATTGCTATTATAATTACTATTTATAATATTGCATCGTTATTATTTTTCAATGTTATTTTTATTATCATTATTTTTTTTTTTTTTCATTGAAAACTTAAAAACTTCAAGCTTCTAAATTTAGCAAATTTTCTTATTTTAACTTTGGGGTCGTCCATAAATTACGTCACATTTTTTTTTTTTAGAGAAGACGTTTTTATAATTAAAAGAGTATCCGACCAAACCAAAACCCTCAGTTGATGTGTCTACATGTTGATTGTAAAATTAACTGCGCCTAACTCTTACTAAGTCGATGTGTACACTTACTTAGTCGATGTTACAGCCTGTTAACGGTTCCAGCCTGTTAACGGACTGTTACAGTTGTTTGTACAGTGCACGTTCTGCGCTTTGAACTTATATGGTTCGAGTGCAGAACTTAATTTAGTTGGTTCACAAAAGTGTGCATCAACAAAATAACAATTTTTGTTTAACAACTAAAAAAAAACCTTTCAATATCGAGAAACGAACCTGGATTTCTCGGTTTACTAGAATATATATATATATATATATATATATATATATATATATATATATATATATATATATATATATATATATATATATATATATATATATATATATATATATATATATATATATATATATATATGTATATATATATATATATATATATATATATATATATATATATATATATATATATATATATATATTTGTATGTATTTAGGTGCTCCCAGAAGTCCTTACGGTCTTATCATAGAGCACCGCGGGAAAGCATTTAACAGGAAGTTCACGCCTCCTTCCGTACCAATGTCACTTGTTGGGCTAGAGCTGGCGTCGAACCTGGGACCTCTGGGTTCTGAGCCAGATTTCTAAGCACTGTGCCACGGCTGCTAATACTATATAATACTTTGCATGTATTATCCATAGGTAAAATAGATTTTTAAAATTGGTATCATGTTTAGGAGAGCAGTGCTAATTTATACAATTTTACACGGAACTATTAGCTGAAAAAAATACATTAAACAGCTGTTTAGTCAGTATCTGTCTGTACAGGCAGAAAAATACTAATTAATTAACTCAAAGAAACTCAGAGAATTATAGGCATTATTATATTTAAAATCGTTTTGTATATTATAAAATGTTGCATCTCCTCCCATTCCCAAAAAAACTTATAAAAAAATTTTTATAAGTTTTTTTATAAGCGAAGGGAGAGTGGGTTACAAAATTGTTGCGTAATATGGGAGGGGGGTCAATAAAGTCTTATGTATGCGTTACGTAATTGTACTAAAGGTATCCTTCCATTGACTCATTTGTCTGATAATTAATTTAAATTACTCTTCTCTTTAAATAAAATTATTATAACTGATGACTATTGACAATTTTGTTATATTTTTTATACAAATATAAAAAATATAACAATACTTATTTTACTTCTATACAAAATTAAATATTTAAAGAAATATAAAAATGCTTAATGAAAAATATCAACTGTACCCTAACTCAAACTGATCAGTCTATGCATTTGTTTTTATACATGAATCCCTATTAGTAGATGCATGTACATTGGTATGTATAGTATGATGGAAAATAAACATTTGTTGTATAGTATAGCGGAAAATAAACATTGGTAGAATTGACAGCATATATAGTAGTACAAATAGTATGACACCATTGTGCGGTCGTGGCGCAGTGGTTAGAGCGCTTGCTATATAAGCACGAGATCCAGGTTCGAAACGAGCCTTGGATATATTTTCGCGTCACGGTAAGGAAGGAGGCGTGAAATTCCTGGCAAAATGCATTTCCGCGGTGCTCTGTGACAAGACTGTTAGGTCTTCTTGGGGCACCTAAATAATAATAAAAAAAATAAAAAATGATTTGCCTTTATCAACAAAACTCTTTCTAGAATCGATTGAATAAAACCTATATACTCAATTTAATGAATTTATTACATCACATGCCTCAGTTTCTGATGAGGAAAACTGTTCATCTTTTGTTGTAGAATGCCAATATTATGACATTAATAAATTTTGTTCTTATAAGTTTGCCATCATAAACTCTATGTGCTTTTTTCATTTAAACATACCCTTTTTACAAAAGCACTTTGAAGATCTGAACATATTATTATCATTAATAGTTTTGAAATTAACATCATTAGAATTACAGAAACAAGTTTAAAAATAGAATCTCATTTTACAAATCCAATTATTATTCAAAATTATAATTTTGAGCACACAACAACCGAATTATCTTGCGTTGGAAATTTGTTATATTTATCAAAAAAAAAACAATTTATAAAAGAAGAGATGATTTGATCATATACACACCAAACTATTTAGAATCTACTTTTGTTCAAATAACTTTTCCCAAAAACACCCTAGCATGGATGTAAACGACTTCAATAATAAAATGTCTGTCCTTTTCCAAAAATATCTTCTGAAAATAAATTTCTCTTTCTAGTTGGCAATTTTAACATGGATCTGATACAGTTAAACTCTGACGTTGTAATTTCTGAGTTTTTAATGTTACTTACTTCATATAATATTCGCTCATTACGCTACCAACAAGAGTTACTGACCATTCTGCTACAATCATTGACAATATCTTTTCAAATGTTACTAACAAAATTATATCAGAAAATCTAACAACTTTTATTTCTGATTATCTACCTCAATTTCTTATTTGTCGTTTCAACAAATTATTTAAACCACGAAGTCATAATTTCGCAGGAACTTTAAAAATTATAATAAAAAATCATTTAAATCTGAATTATTCAAAGTTGACTGGAACCAATAAAAACGATGTTTACTCCAGTTATGAAGACTTTATTTCTCAAACAACATTGTTTGAGA